TCTGAAGTCACTAAAATGGAAAGGAAGTTGGGAAGCCACAGAAGGCAGAAAGCTCTGCATAAACCTGCTCAGTGATGCTGAGTTGGCAGAAGCCCTGCTCAGGTAGGTGAGGCAGGAAAGGCAGCAGCTCCTTCCTGCACAGAATGGGCCCCTGGCAGGACAGCTTCCCCTGGCACTGGGGCTCTAATGCTCCTCACCGTTGGTCTCTTGCAGCTTTTTGTGTGCATCAGATGAACGAGAGGCCCTGACTCCCTTCTTGGTTCAAGCCCCAGGGGTGAGGGAAAAGCAGCTCCAAGGCCTGTGCTCCTCTGGCTCCTCTCCAGGCTCCCAGCCCCCAGCTCTGTGTGATCCCACAGAGGAACACCCAGCCCTTCTCCAGGCTGGAAAGGGGTTTGCTGCTGTTGCAGCATCTGTGGGTACAGCCCCTCCTGCCAGTGAGCGTGGCCAGTTTGATCCCTGTGTTCACAGAGCCATTCCAGGGAGTCCCTGGGCACTGGGATGGGGCAGTGGTTGCAGATGGCTCCAATCCCACAACCAGCTGTGGGCAAGAGCTGAGACCTGGGTGGAAACAAGAGATTGTGGATTTCCAGGGCGCTGGGCACTTTAAGCAAGTGAGTGAATGATTTAAAAACTGATTTAGTCAAACACCTCTAGTCCCTAGGTGAAGTCTCTCCACTTGGGCACAACAGTGTTTTCTGTCCCTGACAGCCTCAGCTCTACCCTGCTGGGCTGTGTTCCCTGGGCCTGCCCCTGCTGGGTGAGGGGCCAGTGCTGGACCCTGTTCCCTGTGTGCCAGGGAACATTAAGCCATAGAATTATTTAGACTGGGAAAGATCTCTAAGACCATGTTGTGGTTTGACACTGGCCAAACACCAGGCATCCACAACAGCCACTCACTCACCTTTACTGCCACAGCTGGGCAGAGGAGAGGGAAAAAAAGTTCCAAGGCCACCACCAAGCTGAGTCCAAGGGCCCGATCTACACATCTTCTAAACCCCTCCAGGAACGGGGACTCCACCACTGCCCTGGGCTTGACAGTGCTTGCTGTTCAATGCTTGACAACCCTTTAGGCAGAGAAATATTCACAAATATCCAATCTAAACCTCTCTGGGCACAACTGGAGGTCATTTCCTTTCGTCCTGTCTCTTGTTCCCTGGCAGGAGAGCCCAGCTGCCACCTGGCTACACCCTCCATTCAGGCAGCTCTGGAGAGTAAGCAGTCCCACCAGGTATCATCTGACATTCATATTTTGGCAGGCTGGGCTGCATCCTGTGGGTATCTGTCTGTCTGTCCAGCCCACAGACATCTGTCCTGCTTTGCATGCCCTGGAGCCTGGTTGTGAATATTCCCACCATTTTGGCACAGGACTCTACTGGCTGGAGAAGAAGCCCACTCGGTTCTGGCCTGTGACAGAAGTCTGCAAAGGTTTTGTGACCTTTCTTCATGGTTCAGGAAGGGGAAATAAATAAGAAGGTGGATTAAAAAAAAAAAAGCTTTGTTATTGCTCTGGGGTTCTGCAGCCTTTCAGGCACCTGAGTAAATGTTTGTTCTGATGAACTGCTCACTCTGCATCGCCGTGGTCAGACTGAAGTGGTTTGTGCTGGGTCACTGATGAAAAACAGATATTTGCATTTCTGTTCCAAACTGTGCTCAAAGCACGAGCGATGGCACTCAGCCAGTGATTACCTTTCATTGCTTGGCCTGTGACTCCTGTCTGTCTGCTGCTTTGATGCCAGAGCTCCAAAAAGGCCCAGAACTCACCTGGGGATGCGTTTTTAAATGTGCATCATCCAATTCAAGTACAAAGCAGACAAAGTCTTATAAATGTGATCAGTCACTCAGGTGCTGAAGTTAAAGCACTCTCTCTTTGTAAATCCCAGCACCTGTTAATCTTCAGTCAGAGCTGCTGGCTGCTGCGTTTTCCCCAGTTTATTTATTTTTAATATCTAGCTACAAGTAAGGCAGCACTTCACTCTTCAGTGCCAGGGGGAAACCTGTGCAGCCCTGCTGGCAAGAATGTCTGGGGGAAGCAATGTGATTTGTGTGTGTGCAGAGCAGTGACAGGACTGAAGAGTAAATGAGGGTTTGGGCTGTGTAAATCTGTGCTGCCTGGTGGTAAATCCCTGTGTCCCAGAGGGAGGGGGCAGCAGGAGCCTGTCTGGACGAGGAAGGAAGCAGTGAACACTTTGCCCCTGTCCCAGGTGAGACCTTGGCACTCTAATTGTGGGGTTTGTGCTGCCCCGTGGTGAGCCCATGATGGTCCCCCTGGGGCTGCCCCAGGACCTTCTCCCTGGCTGTGCTTGGTGCCCCTGGGACACAGAGGGAGGCTTTCAGCACGTTGGGGTTATGAGTTAACCCTGGGTGGGGCAGCACTGCTGGGACAGTCCTGCAGCCCCCCGAAATGGACTTTGTTTGCTGGCACGGGGAAGGTGCTGAAGTTGCCCCAGGGAGCCCTGCAGGAGGAGCCCCTGTCCCCAGTGCACCTCAGCCTTGCAGCTCACACTCAGGCACTGGGTGGAGGCTCCCTCAATAGCTGTGTCTGGAGAAAAACAGTTTTTAATCCAGAAATTTTGCTTAGGGAAGAAAGGAGGCCAGTTGCAAAGAGGAGAGGTGAGGTGCGGGCAGAGCTCTGGCCTCTGCCTCTGAGGGTGGTTTCCAGACAAAAGGCATATTTATAGAACAGTCCAGAAATAGCAGTGTGATCTCTCTGCAAGACACTTGTTCCCTGCCAGGACATTTGGGGTGGCTTAGCCATTTAAAATATTTTAGGCACAGAGCAGCATCAGCTGCCATCAAAGCTTGCAAGGAAGAGCAAGAAGTGTCTGGGCACAGTGGCAGCAGCAGCTCTGAGCCCTCTGCCCAGCACTGCACACCAGCCATGCTGTATTTGCAAGCCATGAAGTCCAACATTAGCATCTTTAACTTATTTATGTTTGGAGTGCAAATATGATGGAGAGAAAACCAGTTAAACTTCTCTTAATCCCTTTATTTGTTCCCCCTCGTGCTCAAGCCTGGCTTTCCCAAGGAAGCTGCAGCTCAGCCTTCCCTTCCCTCCTTTCACAGGAGGGGACAGAGGAAGGCAAGTCCCACACCCAGATAGAAAAAACAAACCAAAGGGAGATGCTCAGAGGCCTGGAGCCCCTCCCCTGTGGAGACACTGAGAGCTGGGGCTGTTCAGCCTCAGAAGAGGAGGTTCCACTACAGCACCTTGTGGCTGGGGAGGGGCTTTTGCTGAGAGCCTGCAGTGACAGAACAAGGGTTTCCTCAATCAGAGCAAGGACTCAGCTTTGCTTTCCTGCAGGAAAGGGGCAATCTGTTCTTGAGGGGTAGAAAAGGCCTCGAAATCCACTCTGTAGGATCCAGGTGGAAGCATTGTTTCCCTATACAACAGCAAGACCAAGGGCTTTCTGTTGCCTGTCTTGCCTTGTCCCATGGAAAATCCTCAGTGTCTTGTTTGTGTGACCTTAGGTTTCTATAGGAAAATACCAATAAATGCTGTCAGAATGAAGCAGCAGCCAAAGCATGGCTCAGTTAAGACAGGTCCTTTCCACTGCTTAGACCAAACAACCAATAAACCACAGCAAAGGCAAAAAATCTAGCATGAGAAAGTTGGGCTTTCTATGAGAAATGCTTTCTGTATTCTCTTTTATTTATTTGTTAATGGTTCGTGTGTGAAATGAAAATCTCCACATCCCCACCTCCTCTCTGGTGTAACCAGCTTTTCCTTATGGCAGTGCCTGCTGCTGCTGCTCTGCAAGGAACAGAGATGCTCTGCCCTGAGTAAGTGTGGTAAGTGCAACCATCATTCAGCAGTTTGGTGTTTCAGGGACTGGAGGTTTTGCCCCATTGCATTTGTTGTGGTGTTTCACATGCTCATAGGAGAGGCAGATGCCAGAAATCAGAACCGAGCTGTAAAACTCCTTTAAAAATTATGAATAAGTAATAATGAATAAATAATCCTGACCCAAAAGCAAGCTGTGCCCCTCTCAGCCTGGGCCCATCCCTCTGTTTTGAGCCAGACAAAGCAGGCATTGCTGGGCTGCATCCCAGGAGAGAGGCCAGCCTGACCCTCCGTGTCACTCTTGGCATCCACAGGGATGCTGCAGCAAGGCAGTGGCTGAGGGCAGTGAGGCAGGGCTGCGTGAGTGGCAGAGCTTCCATCTGCCTCCTGATGAGACCAGTGAGATTTGAGGTTCCAGTAACGTGTCAGGCTGGTATTTCAGACAGCAGCCTCACCCTATTTCCACCTCTGAGCTGCTGGAAGTGTCCCAGGCTGTGTTGGCTGTGACCCCTCCTCCTCCACTGAGCACCCCTACACAGGGTCAGTCACGGGCAAGGCTCTATTTCAGCTCTGACAGGGCTGCTGTACTTGTGCCTCTGTCTGGAAGGCAGAAATGCAGACATGTTACTGTGCCCCAGCCATCTCCTTTCTCCCAGCTCTGGCCTGGGTCAAGCGAGGCCACTGGGCCAGGGTGGGTGTTCAGCCAGACTCAAGGCTGAGCCATTGTAAAGCCTCTGTCCCCTCATTCCTCTTTAACATTTATGCCCAGACTGCAGAGGTTGGAAATATTTCCAATCAATAAAATAGTTTGATGGGTCCAATCAATAAAATATTATAAAAAGCAGTTAAAAATGGAGGAGAGGTCCACTGGCTGAAAAGCACCAGTGCTGTGTGCAGGCTCTCCAGACACAGAGCATGAATTGCTGGTGGTTTCCAAAATCCACCTTCCTATGGGGTGAGGAAGAGGAGCAGCTCCTGGGAACAGCAGCAGCTGCTGGGATGGGCTCCAATGGCAGCAGTGGGGCACCCAGGCTCCCTTCTAAGAACCACATCCACTGGCAGAACTTCTGATCACAGGTCTGGAACAGATTGTGTAGAGGCTCATGGTCCCCAAAGCATCCCTGTGCTTCAGCACCGTCCTGCGGGGGTGGCAGGGCAGGGCAGAGCTGTTGGTGGGGTCTGAGGGGCTGCTTGGACGTGAGGGAGAGGTGCTGGGGTGCCAGGGCAGCAGCAGGAGTTCAGAGTGCTGCCAGCTGAGTGTCTGTGCTGGGGCCAGGAGCAGGGCCAGCCTGGTGCCACCGTGAGTGCTGAGAGCTGCAGGTGACCCAGGTGGTGTCCCATGGCAAAAGCATGAAGCTGTTCATCAGGATCTGGCTGACCTTTCCATCCTTTTAATCTGGAGGAAGTGGTAAAAGAAACCTCAGAGGCCCAAAGCGGGGAAGATCAGAGTGCTTTGCAGAGCCTGTGTGATCACCAAAGCCACATACATTGTTTTTCTTTCGTTTAACTAAAGCCCAGGAAATGTAAACTGTGATAGTTCTGCAAGCTGTATCACAGATCACTTCCTTGGCAAAGGCAGTTACAGGTATTTGTGGTTTTTGTGTGGTCTGCAGCTGTCAGTGTGTGACCACTGGGCACTGGCTGTCCCTGTGCCCTGCTCACACTGGACCCCTGTGGCAGCAGTGCCAAGGAGCAGCACCAAAGGTTAAACCTCACACCCAAAGGTTAAACCTCACACCCACAGGTTAAACCTCACAACGCTGCCTGCTCTTGGAGGATGGAGAGGATTTAATTCAGCACCACACAAGGCAGGTGGGAGCTGGGTGAGAGGAGCTGGAGGGAGGGAGAGGGAAGCTGAGGATGTGGATTGGCAGCTGCTGGAATGGCAAATGAACAGGTTAATCAGAAAACCAAGCAGCTGCTGTGCTGTACCTGAGCCTGGTGCTGGGGCACCACAGTGGCAGCAGCTTGGCTGTGGAGCCACTGACTGCACCCTCTGTGGTGTTCTGGGTCAGTCCAGCTCAGGAAATGCTGACTTCAGAGCAGTTCCCACACATCCCTCGTTGTGTCATCCACTTCTGCTGTGACTGATTTAACCAGGGACCAAACTAAGTCCGGGAAACCATCTGAACTTTGTGAAAGACTGATTCTTTCTTTCCTGTGAGGGTGGTGAGGCCCTGGCACAGGTTGCTCAGAGAAGCTGTGGCTGCCCCCTCCCTGGAAGCATTCCAGTTGGATGGGACCCTGAGGAGCCTGCTCTCAAGGAAGACATCCCCATAGCAGGGGTTTGGAAGAAGATGATGTCTGAAGTCTGTGATTCTGTGGTAAGAACTGGGGCTGAGTTCTCCCACCCCACTTGAGCCCTGGGTAAGATGTGGGGCAGCTGCTGCCCTTGGGAGACAAGCAGGGCTGGGCTGTGGGCTATCAGGGCTGGAGGGAGATGGCTTCTCTGTCTTCCTGTATTCCCAGGGTCCTATGCCAGGTGCCCAGTGCTGCTCAGACAGCAGCAGAGAGCCTGCAGAAGGCAGAACTGGAACCAGCCTTCATTTCTGTGGGAATCACTGAAGTCTCTTGGCAGTGGGAATGCCTCACCTCGCTCAGTGCCCCCAGTGGATTGAAGCTCCTGGTGTGAGATGTGTGTATTTATGTTACCCTGGCAGAGCTAACAGTGCTTGGCTCTACAGGAGCGTTGTAAATCTGAGCCTTTCCCTGTCATCCACACTCGTCTTGATTTTAGAGCACTTGGTGGTACCTGGAGTATTTAACAGCACCTGGCTCTGACTAATGGTTACAGAAGCATATAAGATAGAAAGATTAGCAGCTCAGCTGTCTGATTAATATGTAAATGTACCCAGATATGTGTGAGGGCTCTTAATGAAGTAGCTCACACTTCTGCCTCTGTATAGCAAAGGTGATTGATGGGAAAGTACTTCAGGTGCCTGCTGGAAAGTGTAAAAGTTGTTTTTGTCTACATCTTGCCTTCAAAAAAATATCTGTAGACCTAGGGCTGAGATTTCCTAAGGGAGGAAAAGCAACCCAGTCTGAGTTCAATCTCAACTAATCCAAATTGTTGGCCATGCTCCTGCAGTATCTGTAAATTCTCAGATAGGAATAATCCATCAGGATCTTGTATAACAATCCACGCGGTGTCTTAAATAAACCTTCCTTTTGGCTGTAGCCTGCAGCTGACACCTCCTATAAATTGTTTGATGATCCTTTATATGAAAGGCTGGAGGCTGAAATGAATGTTGTGGTGAAGGCAGGAGGCCCCAGCCCCATGGAAGAGGCTCCTGGGCTGCTGCTTCCACCCAGCTCACGTCGCATCACAGCCCCAGTCCCAGAGCCTCCTGCTGGGCAGCCCGGGGCAGCTTTCAGGGGAATCAAATGAAAATCCTGAGGCGTCAATGGATTTGTGGAATGCAGGGGCTTCCCTGCTGGAGAAGGAACACCACGGGAGATGCCAGGGCAGGGGCTGTCGCTCTCAGGGTGTCCCTGTCACAGGCTGAGCACTCTGCCCCGCGTGTTTCCTGAATCACTGTCCTGAGTCACGCCGGGCTTTCATCCCGCCCCTACAAACCCCCGTGTGCATTTCAAGATCTCTGCACACGAAGCACGTTGTGCTGAAGCGGGCGTGGAGTGGAAATTGGGCAGGGCAGCGAGGCCGGGGCGCTGCGGGTGCCGGCTCCAGGACGGGCTGTGGGAGATCCCTCACAGATAAGGTGTGCAACAGCACCTGGCTGGCGCAGGAGTTCACAACGTTCAAACCCTGTCTCAGCTCTCTCTTTTGCTGCCTCTTCCTCACTCCCACAGGTATCTGGGGGCTCAGGGCACACACGGTTCCCACCTTCTCTGCAGGCTGTCCCCCTGGATGAGCCCAGCAGCTCCACCTGGAACGCGTCTCCTGCTGCTCTCCCTTTGTCAGGGTGTCCGGGAGCTGCCTGAGGCTGAAACTGCTTTGTCTAAAATTTTCCATGCCTCCAGCCAGGCTTTTTTTGGTGCTGATTTTAAATAGTCAGACCTCTAAGAGAAGGGATTGGAGCAGTGTGAAGTTTCCTTCCAAAAGGTATTTGCTGGAGTTCTCTCTGTGAGCAGAAATGTCATCGCAGTTGTGAGCAAGGGAAGAGGGAGTGGGTGACAGGGCGGAAAGGCAGCAGTGCCACCAGCAACCACACAAACCATGGCCACACACTTGCCATTCCCTGGTTTCAGCTCTGGGGAGGAGCATTTGGGACACAGGTCCCCTTCAACACTCTTGCAGAACAGCCCTGCAGAAGGTGTGAGGGCAGCAGGGTGACCCCTGACCCAGCCAGGTCTGTGAGGGTGGGTACCAGCCCCTGGCCACCATCGGGGCATTTCTCCATAAATAAACACTGCTGCTGGCTCTGAAGGGTTTTTTCCTACCATCACATTTATTGGCAATCATTCACACAATTTTTCCCTGCAGCAACCTGGGTGCACACTCTGGCATTTTTAAGTGTAGCTTCTTATTTCCTTCTAGTTCCTCTGATGCAGGAGAAACACCTCCCTGTAAGCGCTGGCTCCAATAATGGTTATTGCATTCCTGATGACAAATCGGTTTACGATAATTATTAGGCTGATGGTTAAAGCTTTCAGTGTAAATCAATGCAATTAAAAAGAAAATAATACTCCATAATTCATATAGATAAAGACATTTGTCGATGGCTAATGTTTCAGAAGAAAGTTCTATATGAGAATTGTTTAGTCCCTGTGATACCAGTGTCCAGCTAATGATGCTCAACTGGGACTGGAACTGGGACTGTTTTCTCTGAGTTTCATGGCTACCACATGTGTGGGTCCCCTGACAGACCTGAGATGCTGAGGGGCTGAGAGTTCCCTCTCCCGATTCTTCATGGCAGCAGAAAGAGTTGGTGACTTCATCATCTTCTTCCAGACTTCTGTGATCCTTCTGCTGTGAGTTCCTCCCTCTCCACCCTTCCATGAAAGGTAGGTAGGAGAGCAAATCAATGAACCTTTGGTTGTGTTCCCTGTGAGCTGGTCTGCTCTTCAGAAGATATGTCAGAGACTGAAAGCTATAATTTATGTCTTTAAAATCTTCATGTAGGCATCTGCATGCCTATTATACCAAAACTGCATTGCAAAGGCTGCAGAGAAGACCACCACACCCTGAAGAGGCCTTCTGACTGAGGCCCTGAACTGCTGGCTGATGGAGAGAAGAAAGGAAACTCAGGTCTGGGGAGAAAGAACTCCTTCACAGACGGATCAAGCTTAGCACCTCCGGGGTGGAGACCACAGCTTGCTTTCCCTCTTTTGCTATCAAGTAAAGTATATCAATTTTTTGACACTCATATCTAACCTCATTTAGTTTTAATCACGTTTTGGGGCATATTTTGAACCTTTCTGGGTCCAATCAATTTTATTCACAGAGGCTTAGCTTTCTTTGGTCTTCTGTGTTAAACCAGTTCATAACAAGATATTTAAGGGTTCACAAAGTAGAGTACAGTCAAAAAGCTTTGATCTCCCAGGCAGACTGGGGAAAACACAGGGAAATATCCAGCCCTCCTTTGACAGACTGAGGAAGGGCACTGGTCCATCACTCCCTCACAAGATGAGCCACTGTTTGTACCAGGTGGGAGGGAAGGACCATGGCTGGTGGGCTCAGGCTGTCCTGGAAGAATGGCAGTCTGGGTTCTGACTTTTGTGAGAAAATTATTAATAGAATTTTACCCAATGACTGTTTGGTGGGTTTGAAAGGTAAATATTCTCAGTGTAGAGTGAAATTTAGGAACTGCAGAAAATTGGGTCACTCCAGGGTGGCTTCTTTACAAAATGAAATTGTAGCTCACAGGCCTAATATAGATCTATAGATACACTTATATATATTAAAAAATGTGTATAGTATATATTCACTTTGCTGTCATGTAGCAGGTTACTCACATATTAATAATTACTAACAACACAGATCTTAGATCTGTGTGAATACCCAAAGTTTCTGCAGTTCAGTTTTGTTTTAAAGCTTTAAATCCGTTGATTCTACATTATAAAAACAGACCTAATGCTATTCAAGAGACATCCAGTATTTCAAAGCCACGTTTCTCAATTTGACAGTGCATTAAAATTTGGTCACCATGCAGAGTCAGCCTGTGTCCCTTGCTAAGGGACAGTGTTGTGGGAGTGCACTGCAGGGTCCTAAAGCGACACCATGATGAGTTCAGCTTCACCCTGTAATTTGCATTCAGCTGTTTACAACTCTGTCTTGGTCTTTCGTGGTCGATTTTTTTTTTTCATTTCCAATTCTAAACCAATTGAAGGCCTTTAATGGCAGTAAGTGTACAGCTGATCTGCTGTTTTCAAGCTGGAACTGATGTCTCAGCAGCTTGAATTGCAGCCCGAGGCAGAAGGGCTCAGGGCAGCCAGGCTGATGGCAGGAATGGATCTGTGCTGTTTGACTGGGAGCAGCCAGCACAGGACCTGCAGGCAGCCCCAGCCCAGCCAGCCCTGGGCCCTGCCAGCACCACCGTGGTGCTGGAACCCTCTGGGTGGGCAGAGCAGGAGAGCAGGAGACAGCTCTGAGCCCTCACCAGCCTCCCGGGGCAGATTTGCCATATCCACCTCTAGGCACAAACTCCATCACTTCTGAGCTGGGATTCACCCTGAGCATGGGGATCCTGAAGATTATGTGTAGCGCTGTGTGGAGTAAGAGAGAAAAGCCCCACTCAAATTTCCCTTTCTGTGGGAGAGCACTGATTGTTTTTGTGCTACAAATTGCTCTTTGTTTTTAGGAAGACTTTCTGACAGCCCTGCTTGCTCAAAACCACCTGGGACTGTGAAGTTGTCACTCTTGGAGGGAGGATGGCTGACTGTAAACTCTCTGTGATTCCTAAAACCAGAGAAAAATTGTCAAGAAAGGCACATTGCCATGTATACTGGCAAAGGTCTTTCAGGTGTTTTTCAAGGGCAGAAGTGAAACTGCACACGATGTGACAGGGACACGAACCATCACAAAACACGTGTGTGTCAGAAGAGGTGCAGTGTGGTTTTCTTTGCCTTTCCACTTCCTTTGTCCCTGGCCTTGCAAGTGGGACAAATGCTTCTCAAATGCTGCTGGGACAAATGCAAGTGGGACAAATGCTTCTGGGAGACTCTGGGGGAAGGGAAAGAAAAGACTAGGAAAGAAAGAGGCAGATAAAATGGGAAGCAGCAGGACGTGATGGATATATTTGCATATCATTTTGCATTCATGAGAACAATCATAACCCACTTATAGAATGATGACATCAAGCAAATGACATATCAGCAAATCAGTTTTAAGGCCTTTCATTTTGTTTCCAAAATAAGTTCTCTGCAGTTATTTTCTTTTTTAATCTAGGTTAATCCAGTCTGTTTACTGGGATTTATGGACTGAAATTTGGGATAGCTTTGTTTTATCTGTCATGCCAAAAATCAGATAAATAAACACAGCCTTGCTAAGTGGGACTGGAAACTGTGGGGCTAAGGGATAATGGTGAGAAATGTGCCTGAATAGGGGATAGGAGCATGGCCAGACACTGCAGAGTTATGGGGTGGGGCCAGTCTTTAATCATCTGGTTAAATCCCACAGAGCCCCTGCCACTGGGGGAAACCAGTGCCTGACCCCTTCTTTTCAAACATTTCCCTGCCTAATTCTGGTTCCAAACTTGTTTATATTTGAGAAATGGGGCTTCCTTTTATATGAGAAGGAAAATGATACAAGAAGAGCTCAATAATTTCCAGAATATATTGGTAAGAAAAGGTATTTATTTCATCAGGTACCAGCCGAGCCCTGCAGAAAAGATCTTTTGTTAATGCAGAAAAGCCACTGATAATGCAGAAAAGGCACTTATCCTTGCAGAAACGTTCAATAAATGTGTCATATTTGGGGGAAACCAGTTTGAGCTGTGGCCACACTGCAGGATGGAGTGTCCCAGTGACCTGAGTGAGCAGCATAGCACGGGCCACCCTGGCCACTGATTCTGGCCACACAGCTCTCAGAGTGGTTGTAGTGATTGTCAGTGGTGCTTGGGCCATCACAGAGGGGCAGCAGAGAGAGCAAGCTTGGAAAGCAGCTGAGGACAGCCCAGCTTAACTCCAGACCTAGACATGTATGGAACAGCACAGGGCAGGGAATGACTAATGAAGGATGGGGACGTGCTCCAAGTTATTCCACTCACTGTAGGGTTACAGAAAAGAACTTCATATCTTTTAAATGAGATTGCAAATTAGACTGCTAAAGGTATTAATGTTGTTGTAATTTACAGAGATATTTGATTCTTCAAAACTGTTGATTAAGGAATTAGAATTATATAAAATTAATGTAGTACATACTGAGTGTATTTCAAGGCAAGGGATTTGCAGGCCTCAGAACAGAGCTGCAAAAAGGGGGGCAAGGGAGCTTGTGTCTGCCTAGCTCTGGTGGGGCTCAGTTGCTCTGTCACAGTTTAACACTTCTATCTGTGGTTTTGGGGAGAAAATGAAACAGTCACAGATGACATAAAATGAGAAGAAAGGTGAAGAATGAGGTAGTAAGTGACAGAGACCGAATATTTGGGCTTTCTAGCTTGGCACAAATAAAGAGTGCTTGTTTGTTTGTTTGTTTTTTAATAAGGTCAAGCGTCAAGCCTGGCATCCTGGAAGTCAGGAGCCAGGCTGTGTTTGCAGGACAGGAACTGCTGCCCAGACAAGCAGGGAGCCAGAGAACAACTGAGAGATTATGGAGAATTAAAGCTCCTTGTCCAGCACTGTATCTTGAAGGTAAAGGAATGATCATGGTGGGATAGAGAGAGGAATTTCAGCACTGGCAAGGAGACACTCTTGTTTCTGTGTTGGGTGGCACATGAAGATTTGTGAAACCGAACCTAGCAGGGTCTGAGACAGGGCTGGTACAGGGGCCTCTCTGACCTGATGATCTATGAACTGCACTGCATGTTTGAAATAATGCCTGGCATGGGTGGATGAAATACGTGCCAGCTCAACCCAGATGTGCCTTGTCTTCCTGGAGCCTGTGTTGGAGCCAGGTGCTCACTCCCACCTCCTTGCTGAGGCCTTGTGTGCTCTGGACACACTGATGAGTGCAGAGGCAGAGAAAGAGGGATTCAGGTGATAAATTTTACATTTCCCCTTTGCTGCTGCCTTTTGCTGCTCTGTAGCTGCTTGGTGAGAGCCAGCTGTAGCCTTCAAGCATTAGAAATATTTAAAAATCATCCCCTTTGCTCAGGGGAAAGGTGGCATAGCAAACAACTGCCACGTTCCCCGAGAGATCAATAACACCCTGCAGGAAGCTAAATCGTCCTTTATTAATCTGATGAATTAGCCTGATACAGGGAGGAAGAGATCAACAGCATGGAAAATAAATGCATGCCCTGAGGCAAAGCTTGTCAGCTATGGAAATAGAAGTGTCTTTCATTTTATCTGTAACAAATAATGTTGAAAGTTAGGCTGGAAGACCAAAGTGACTTCTGAGATTTGTTAGTGCAATGTGGATAGAGAAACTCACTTCTCTTTGAAAAGCAATTACACAATCACGCAGAGACAAGCAGTTTCCCTGCTGTGCTGCTGGATTAGAAAGCCTGAATATCTTCCTCCTTATACTTCAAGAGGGACTGATTCAGCCAAGGGCTTAGGTATATGTTTCAGCTCCAGAGTCATTCCAGGGAGCTCAGCTTTAGCCTTGAAGAATCAGGATCTAGGGAAAAAGACAAAGTGAAATGGCATCAAATTTCTATTTTCTGTTGAAGTAGGCAAAAGAGAGTTTTCATAACAAGGAACAAAAATCAGCACCCCTGACCAGCTATCCTGGAGAGGCAGCCCTGGCCCTGGGTTCTTCTCTTGCCCCTATGGGAACAAATTGCATACTGCCAAGAATCATTGTAGTTTTCTCTCTGAAAATTGCATGATTCAGCCATTCCTTAGAAAATGTGATCAGCTTTTTGGAAGTCTCCACAGTACCTTTGGTTGCATTGATTTGACCAAATCAGGGCTGACTATTTTGAGTTTTCAATGTATTCTCCATTTCCCAGTGTGGAGAGACTTCTGTCGTGACTTAGGGATGTGGTTTGGTGGCAGACTTGGCAGTGTGGGTTAATGCTTGGGCCCAATGATCTTTGGATCCTTTCTAATCTAAATGATTCTATGACTTTATGATTTGTGCCTGTTTCTTTCAGGAGCATGGTGCAGCATCACCCAGCCATGCTCTGCCTGGGCCACAGCAGCCTGAGCCCAGCAGCTCTGCAGAACTGGGGCACGTTCTTGTGGCTGCTGGAGAGTTTTGTTTCCTGCAGGTGCAGGGGCTCAGCAGGAGCTTTAGAAGACCTGCTCATT